CCCCCCCACCGAAGTCCGTGTTTCAAATTTGAAATATATTTTACTTTTTAAAATTTTTCTGTAAGTCTTAGTTTATGATGCCTGAAACTCTGATAAAGTTCTTAGATGTTAACGTTTCTCCATCAATTGAATATATATTCCATCACTCTATATGTTATGTAATTTTAAGAAGTATTCGTCTTTTTCAAAAGGTCGGGCAATTAAAGATACAGTTGACGTCGGTGCTTGACCAGTGGGGCAGTCACAAAGTGGCCTTTGACGGGATAAACAGTTGCCTCATGGAGGCCAGGTATTCTCTTTCCCGATTCCGTCTGCTCACCGGCTCCTTAGAAGCTGTGCAAGTCCAGGTAGACAATCTTCAGGTAAGGAATGAGTTTCACACACCTTTAATATTCTTTTTAATCTGAGAAAACCAAAAAATTAGCAAATGGAAACATCATCCTGAAATATTGCCATACATTGTTTACATTTAATTATTTTCACAATCTTTAAAATTAATCTTACCTGCTTTATTGTTACTTAATCAGACTATGAGTGCCAAATGCTGGATTAGCTAGTATATAACCAAAAGGTTTTTAAGATCCCATTATATAAATATCCACATAAATGTATTTTTGTAAAAGGGTTTTGTTGCCAAATCAGCCTCCGTGATCCGTCGTCACTGCCTTTTGTCTTCCCTTTCTCTTTTTAATCCTGTGTCTCCAAACATATTCTAAGGAATTAAAAGGAAAACAAAGAGAAAAACAGCAAAACCTTTAAACCATTAAGTTGTTTTCTTTTCATTCCGTATAGTATCGGCGGCTTACCCAGCGTGTCCACACACTCCTCTGATCTAGCACTCACTGCTCGCTTTCCTGCCTGTCCATTTTCACTGTGTTCGTCTAGACTGGCGTCCTTGATGTTTGTCTTCAGCATAGCTCTCGCTCCTGTCCCAGGTCACTGCCCTCAAATTTGCTGCTGCCCTTCCTTCCCCACGCACCTGGGCCATGATCTCCTGCCGCTGCTCTTTCTTCTTAGCTAAATAACACAGGGCAAGCCTTCAAGGGACAGGATGCCAGCAAGTGCCCAGCACCTGCCCTCCTTACATCCAGTCCACCTCCTGGCTTGGCAGTCAAAGTTTATATGTTGCTGACCTCATATGCAAACTTTCATAAGGAAATGCCTTTTTTGGGTGCGGTGGGCAGGAGAAAGGATGAAATGTGTATAAATAATTTATTTAAACCTCAAATATTTGTGGAAGATACTAAGGATCGTCAAAACATTTTGAGGATAATAAACTTAAAAATACATTTTATACCTTTGATGCGGTTGGAAATACTTTTTAATTTAACATATTCTGTATTTAACACCTATAAGAGCTGTCTTATGACATGAAAGGATTAAGGGTCTTTCCCTTGAATGTTTTGATTTGAGGGCAATCAGATACTATGTTAAATAGTACTAAAGTTTTGTAGCCTACCTAACCTAGGGAGTTTTAGTAAGAACTTACTCTGTCGCTTCAGCTGTATTTCTAGGGAAACACCTTTCTTCCAGTTCCTTCATTGGTTCTTGGTAGAAGATTCCACCAAGCCAGCCTAATAAATATTCTTTGCTTTAAGCATTTTTGAAATATACAATGTATTACACATTATGCCTTAACTGTAGTCATCATTCCGTGCAATAGATCACTAATTCATCCTGGCTAGCTGCAACTATATGTACCTTCTTATCAACATCTCCCTTTTCTCCTTCCATGTTCCCCTCCCAACCTCTGGTTACTATGATTCTGCTCTCTACTCATATGAGTTTGACATTTTTAGACAAAAATTGGTAGGTACATGAGGTGATGATATGTTAATTAGCTTAATTTATTCATCCCACAATGTAAACATATATCAAAACATCACATTATACCCTATAAGTACATACAATTATTATTTGTCAATTACAAATAACATTAAATTTAAAAAAATTCTTTTAAATCTTTGCAAGGAAGAACGCCCAGAGATAGAACTTGGGAAAGCTATGCTTTCTTAGAGTCTTTAATCATTAGGAGTTTGTGGTAGAATCACTCTAGGTATACAATAAAATAGAGATCTGGCCTTGGCTTTGGGCATCTAAGGGAACCATAGTAAGATAGATGGTACATTACATACCCCACCACCATAGCTTCCTACCAGACCACAGACAAGGGCACCCTGTGTGAACTCTTCCGACAGAATCCAGATGCCAGTATAAGAAGGCTTAATTTCTAAGACTCTCTTCTCACAGACATAAGAACAAAATCATAAAAAGGAGAAGAAATGACTAAGAAAGCTTATAAAGCGTTGGAGCAAAGTCATGCATGGTTTATGTATTTTTGTGTATGGATTTATGAAAACATATATAAATCACTTTTAAATCTGCTTACTAGAATTTACATCCTGTCATGTCCTCTGTGGGATATTTTTCTTTGGGCAGAGTCTTCAAGATGATCTAGAAAAACAGGAAAAGAGCTTACAGAAATTTGGATTTCTCACCGACCAGCTATTAAAAGAGTGTCACCCACCTGTGACAGAAACTCTTACCAATACACTGAAAGAAGTCAATATGAGGTATGGAGAATGCTACCTTTATACATTATTTGTATCATAGCCTTATTATAAATAATGATGTAATTAAAACTTCCTGACATTTTGAATTTGA